AGATTTGGGCACCATCTTCCACTCCTGCAATGGCTGTGACAGTCAGATTTGGCCAATGAAGGTATATTTAGAGACAGAAAAGAATATGAGGACCAATGCCTTCAGTGGAGTTACTCCTAATAACACCAGAATAAAAAATGAGAATCAATTTCAAATGTAAGCAAGACAGAAATGTATAGCACTAGGCTCTCCTTCAAGAGGCACTGTAAGACAGCTCCTTCTTGCTCCTGTTTACAGGTGACTTCACAAGACAAGGTGCAGTAGTGGTTTCAAATAATTCTGTTTGTCTGCTTATTGTCCTCCTTTTGAGCTGTTTGTTTTATTTTACATTATCAACAAAACATTATTTTATGAAAATGGTTTTAATCAATACATCTGCCATCATCCTTTTCTCCAGGATATAGTGCCAAAGTTGGAAAAATTCCGTGATGAAATCAATCAGTCGGCAGATGTCATTAGCTGCTGCCTCATCACTCTTATGAGCCATGGGACAAAAAATGGCTACATTTGTGGGAAAGATAAAGACAAAGTTAATCTCGAAGTTATATTTCCACTATTCAACAATGCAAACTGTCCAAAACTTCAAGGAAAGCCGAAAATCTTTATCATTCAGGCATGCAGAGGACGTATGTATTTTATGAGTCATATCATTTTATGAGTAGTACTGGAGCTTGTCATTTTACAGTGAAGGTATCATTTTAGGTCTTTGCACAAGGTGTCCAGTGGGTATTTGGAAGTCTACTCCAGGAGTTTGCTGCAGTTCTCGGTGTTATCATGTCATTGTTGGAGAGCAGGATACATTTCCCAATATAGGCTTCTCACTTGCATAGCAGGCAGTGTTGAATACACCATCATAAGAGCATGTTCCACTCAGCACAGTGCCTCTTGGTAGTAACTGACACCTAGGTGGTAAGTTTTGCTTTAGCAAAAGTCTAAACAAATCTAATGCAGTCTTCCTAACGGGGAGAATGGTCATGAGAAGCACCTGAAATAAGGCAACTTTTCATGCCTTTTTGGAGGGATGAATGCATGACTTAGGGTGATGAGGAAAAATCCCAAGAGAGGAGATGTGTAACAAAGCCAGGCTTCTATAAGAACCTGCACCTTTTGGTTCAACTCCCATCTTAAGTTTGCCCTTGGTACCTCCAGTTGTGTACTGATTAGAGTTCTGCTCCATCTCCTAAGAGAATCAGCTTAGTTAAGCAACTCATTTATTTTCCATTGCTTGAACAGTAGCTTCAGAAAGGTTTTCCTTTTTGTCTGCTTGTGGCCATTTGCTCTCTGCAGGATACAGTATTTCACAAGTGCAAGTTAATTGCAATTGCAATTGATACACTAAGTTAGACATTTAGTGTGCTACACTGATACACTAACTAGACATTTAGTATGCTGCTATTGCTACTTGAAGACTGTGTTCTGGAATTGCAAACACCCTCCCCCTCTCCCCCACCCCCCCAAGGAATGAGTCAAGGGGGAATGAAGTTTTCAATGTACAACAGTTTGAAAGTTTGATAACTCTTCAGACCTTCTCCTGATCTTCTCACCCTTACAGATCTCCAGCTATGGTATGATAGTCTACCAAGAAAATCTCTTTTGTGACATTGCTTAGAGAGAAATACGGCCAAAGCCAGAATTCTCTCCAGTTCAAGATAATTTCAAGTTTTAATTCAAATCATTAACATTTGGTTTTGGTGGGATAGATGCTATTTGCATGACTCTGGAAGAACCTGCTAAGACAGATTGAAAAGTGAAAAACTACTCATTAAAATATCTGTAAACTTCCGACTCATTTACATTCAGGTTTCTGCCAGATAAAATATGAACAAGCAAAACATGTGTGTGATATCTTTTATCAATATTTTTCCCTTTTAAATATTTTTCTCAAAATTATTATTTTCCCTCTTTTGTTCTTTCTCCTTCTTACCTTAGAGTTTGTGTGCTTACAGTATGCATATAGCTAGGAGTTTGTCAGGTTGCCAGGATAATAGTGCCATGATATTCCTTGTAGTTTTTACATAGAAGAAATAAGATTCTCTTTGTGATATACTGTAGTATTATTATATTATTGGTTGGGCAGTGTGACGGGGTATCTCCACTGGAGCCGTCCTATTGGTGGCTCCGCCTTCCTGTCTTGGGCTAACCACGTGCTTACTCACCTGCCATGCCTTGATCTTAATTGATTGAGTGATGTAATTAGCGGGAGGCTGCCCACTTTATATGCCCAGTGCCAGGGGGCGCTATCTGCGGCTCCTTTTCCTCCCCTACACCCCAGCCCAAGCCTCGCAGATGGTACTTGACATGGTTTGCCCTATGCCTTGGTCCTGTCCTTTACTTCCGGGGCTCCTCACCGCCCCCTCTCCTGCTCCGGGGCTCCTCACCGCCCCCTCTCCTGCTCCGGGGCTGGAGTCAATGCACCCCCAAAATGCTGTGCCCTCCCTGGCACCAGGGCCCCACGTTACCATGGAGCTCCTATGAGGCCTCCTCCAACCCCTAATAGCCTCACCCGGTCCTCCGGTTAAAACAGTAAACACAAAAAAACATAAAGCCCCTAGGCTATAACATAAAACTAAACCGTCCGCACAAAACAACGTTCTATCCCTACCAGGAAAATACTCCAACTCATAGCTGCAACCAGGGGATGCTCATGCAGTCTATCTTCTCCTTTCTCTCTGCACTGGCCAAGCTCCCCACTCCTTGGCCACCAGAGGGGAACTGCTCTCCTGGCCTCATGCTTGGGCTTAAGAAGGGGCCAAGCCCTGCAGCTTCCTGTCAGCCGATTCCCTTGGTTCCCCTAGCAACCAGCACCTGTGCTGTCCTGGTGACTGGCAGTTGAGCCTCCCCCTTCTCACCACTAGGGGTCTCTCCTGAGCCATTTCTGCTTTTAGGCGCAGGGCACCCAAGTGCTCTGCAACAGGCAGTCAAACAGTTAAAAACTTTGATCATGATTAGTTATGCATCCCGAAAAGGAGTTGACAACTCATGACTTGGCAGGATGCAGGGTACCATGGAGTTAGGAGTGAGGGGCAGCAGCAGGGCTGAGGGTGGCTGTCGTTTGGGAGTGAGGGGCAGACACACACACACAGAGCGCCCAGCAGGTAAGTCTGTGGAGGAGGAAGGGGGAGTGAGCAGGGGTATGGGTAAAGATCAAGGCCCCCATGTTGAGTGAGGGAGTGGGGCTGTGTTGAATGGGGCCCCAGGGCCAGGGTGGCTCACTGGACAGAGCTGCAGGCAGCTCATTCAGGGGTGTGTGGGGTGCAGCTCCCCACCACTGTGCACACCCCTAGGGAAGGCATGAGGGGCATGTGCCCCCTGCTTTTGTGTGAGGGGTGGAGGCAGGCTGCCTGCTGCAGACTGGGGCTCTGCACCCTTCTGCCTTTACCCTGGGAGCTGCATGATGGCTGCATCGCATGTCCCCTGCCTGCCTGGTGGAGGGAGGCACAACATAGCATTATGCAGCTCCTGGGGCAAAGGCAGCAGGGCACAGAGCCCCAGCCCACAGTGGGCATCCCACCCCTGCCTTTGCCTCGCTCAAAAATCTGGGTGCTACATGCCCTCCATGACTCCCCTGGGGGTGCACACAGCTGCAGGGATCCACATCCCCCCAGTCCCCCTGAACCCGTGGAAGAACTGCCTGTGGCTCTATCTCCTGACCTGCCCTGGCCCCAGGGCCCCATTCCCCCAGCCCCTGCCCCACTACTGCCTTCACTGTGGGGGCCATGATCTGCGCCCCCCCTGCCCTTTCTCTCCCCTCCCCTCCCCTCCCCTTTCCTCCCCTCCACCAACTTGCCTGCTGGGCAG